GTGGGGACCTCAGGAAACTGTTTTCCCCACTGCACCCCAAGAACTCCACTTCCACGGGTAACACAATGTCTAACTTTGTCATACTTTTGGAGGTGTATACTCAGAGTAGATTTAATGTGAATTTCACTTGTTAGTGAATTTGAACATCTTTTCATATTTTTGAGAAATGTGTGTGTGTGAAGGGGAGAATATTTTCTGGTTAGTAATTGGTCTTTGCTTATTTTTTGTTGTTCAAAAGGTTTTTTTAAAGACATAGTCAAATTCAGCAAATTTATTGCTTATTGGATCTGAATTTTCAGTCATAGTTAGAAAGTCTTCAAATATCGGATGAAAGAAAAAATTATACATACTTTCTTCTAGAACTTACATGGTTTCATCTTTGATATGTATAGCTATGGCCCATTTGGAGTTTATTCCTGATTATAGCGTGGAACTTGGTTCTAATTTTATCTTTCTCCAAATATAAGCCAGTTGCCTTACCAGTACTTATTAAATTTTCCATCTTTTCCCAAGTAATTTGAGATACTATGTTTATCACATATATTTTCATATGCATTTAGACATATTTCTGGGACTTTCTATTTTATTCCACTGGTCTATTGGTCTATTCACTCACCAGTTGCCATGAGTAGATAAACAAACCCGATTTATAGTGTATTTTAATAACGGGTAGGACTAGCTCATAAACTTTTCTTTTTCCTGTTTACCTGGCTATTTTTGCATTTTATTTTTCCATATGAATTTTAATGTCAACTTGTCTAGCTCCATAAAAATCTTGGTATTTTTATTGGTATTTGTTAAATTTAAAAATCACCTTAGAGAAAATAGATGTATTTATGTTATGGAATATTTTTCCATTTGTTCAAGCCTATTTTTGTACTTTTAAGGGTGCTCTCAAGTTTTCCTCATATAAGGTTTGCACATTTCTTGAAAACTTCAATCTGAAACAACATTTTATCTTCGTTGTTACTATTGTATTCTCTATTTTCAGGGTATAAAGTATGTACATCCATAAGATCTATCTTATTGACCAGTCTGTTGTATTAAACGTGACATATCAAACTTTCCTACTACTAGTGTATTTTTATCAATGTGTCTTTAAATATCCTATGATTTTTTTTTTGCTTTAAACACGTGTTGCTGAATTATTTGGTGTATAGAATTTATAACTATTATATAATAATTGTGAACTGTAATAATAATAATAATAAAAAACACCCATATCATGGGTCAGGGACATTGTCATATTCAGTCCTTCACTCCCAGTGCTTAGTCCATAGTTAGAAGTCAATAATTATAGGTTGGATAAACCTGCCTTCTCTCACCCAACTATTAATATCTGAAGGGGAATTAGGAACCAATTATTATGGATTCGGGGAAAGAACCTTGAAAACAGGACTGTGTTTTATTCTTCTTGAAACACCTAGCAGTCTTTTGCATAATGCACGTTGAAGCTGGAAAATGAAAGAGAAAATGAAATAGTACACACATAGGCTTGGAAGAATGTCAGGTGAACAGAAATGCTCAATAAACGTTGCTCCTGCCTCAGTTTTGCTTGCTCTAACGGGAATAAAAATACCGGGCCGTCTCACATATGAAACAAGCATGCTCCGTGTGAAAAAGCTTTGCAAACACCAAATACTATCCGAAGGGGCGCATCTAAGTGCAATATGTTAATCAATCTTGGCCTTGAGCAGCCGGGTTTGAAGGGAAGGGCCCTCCCCCAGGGGTGCGGAAACCTAATGCATTGTAACTATTAACACTTTCGGTGTTTTCTTCCTATTTAAAAGCAGCCGCCGCCGACGTCCAGCCCGTGTCTCCGCCGGCCTTCCCTTTCCCTGGAGGATGTAACTCACAGGGCTGAGGCTTGAAGACCCCTGACTCACGCCTTCCCCTCGCCCCCAGCCAGCGGCCAGACCAGGCCCGGGGCGGGGCGCTGGCTGGGCGGGACCAATCCGGGGGCGGGTGCTGGCTGGGCGGGACCAATCCGGGGGCGGGGCGCTGGCTGGGCGGGACCAATCCGGGGGCGGGCGTTTTCTGGGTGGGACCAACTAGGGGGCGGGGCACGGTCTCAGTAGGACCAATCCGGGGACGGGGCGCTATCTGGGCGGGACCAATCCGGGGGCGGGGCGCTGTTTGGGCGGGACGGGGAGGGGTGAGGGTGTCCCGGGCGCCGCTGCCGGGCGGGGCCGCACGGGGGCGCCACTAGGGCCGCGCTGCTCCCGGAGTTGCCGAGCATCGCAGGAGGCTTTCCCTTCCGTGTGGGGCCCCGCAGTGTCCCGCGGCCGCGCCGAGGGCCGCGCGGGCCGCAGGTCAGTCGGGAAGGCCGCCTACCCGGCCTCGCCCGTGCGGAGGATCTGGGCTCCGGGTGGGCCGCGGGCCCGGGAGGCGGCGGGGCGCCCGGAGAAAGGGCCCGGTCCGCGTTGATCACCCGGGAGGCCTGGGCCGTGGGCTCGGGCTTGGAGTTGAATCCGTGAGAGCCGGGCCGCGGGGAGACTCCGCCGGGCCTCCTGGCGCCCCGGCCCCTTCCATCCTCCCCACCTGGCGGGAGAAGTGCGAACCCCTCGAGCGAGCAGCGCTCCTCCGAGTGGGTCGGCGGGCGGACTCCCACCCCTCCTCCGACTTTCCGATCCGCACTCCGGGCCGCGGCCCGGGAGCCCGCCTTTCAGCAGGCGGCGCGGATGGTTTGATACAGGTGGTCCCGGGCCGCTCTTGGGGACACTTCTCCGGAGGGCAGGGCGCTTCCGCCACAGCAGGGAGCCCAGCGGGTGCATTTGAGGACGGGCCCGTGACCGGACCTGAAATGGTGCCGCCCGGCCCTCTGCCCGAGGGGAGCCTGTCTGAGGCCAGGAATCCCCTCCTGGCTCTCAGGGTGCACAGAGACCAGGGCCTGGGCGAAGCTGTGCTGAGCAGGCAGTGTGGGTGCAGCAGGAAGACCTGGGGGGCTGGGCCTGTGACCTGGATGGGGGCTGTCCCCACCCCTTAATCACACACAGGGCAGCCTTCGCGTGGACCCTGCACACATCCCTCCACTGCTTTCCTTGGGGTCCTCGTCTGTCCACAGGCGCAGTGAGCCCCACCCACAGGGCTTTCCTGTGAACCAAGGAAGGCCTGCCAAGTGTCTCCCGCCGTGGCCGGCACCCAGGAAGCACCCAGTAAATGGGAATTATTAAGAGTGACAAAGGCCCTGCTTCTTAGGGGGCGTATAGTCCGCCAAACTAGGGATCAAGCAAGTGAAGTAGAATGTAGACAGGGATGCAAAGGTTATTTGAAGAACGGTGCCCGGATTGGGAAGGCTGTGTAGGCACAGTGAGGTTTGCCTGGGGCTTTGGAGAACAGATGGGCTTCCAAGGAACTGGTAACGGGCAGTGTGAACCAGCGCCATCCCAGGCCTCCGAGGTGGCTCTCTCCCCTGGACCACTGGGGGCTGCTCCCAGGACCTACAGGCAGTGCAAGAAGTCACACCCACGGTGGTTTTTGGTCCATGATGGTTTCTGTCCACTGACAACGTTTGACACACTTGGTTGTCTCCTGCCCCCCTTTCATTGGAAAGTGGATACATGGGAATATCTACGAAAGGATCGTCATTGGTCACGTGGTAAAGTGAATTGCCATGGATGTGGTCAAGCCTCTTGGCAGCCCTGTTACCCTGGCTATGGCATGTGCATAAAGCTTTAGCATTTCAGAGTGCAGAAGTTAGGTGATTTATTTTTATTTTTTTAAATACATTTTTTTTTATTGATTTCAGAGAGGAAGGACGAGGGAAAGATAGAAACATCAGTGATGAGAGAGAATCATTGATTGGTTGCCTCCTGCATGCCCCACATGGAGGATCGAACCATGACCTACTGTTCCATAGGTGGGTGCTCAACCACTGAGCCATGCCAGCCAGGCAGAAGTCAGGTGATTTAGAGATGCTATCTGTTCTTCTGGACCAGTCTAGCTACTGGCAGACATGGAATTCTGATCCCCGTTGATAAATTATTTCTTCCTTAGTTACACAATTTAGGAATTACAATTACTATTGTCAGTCATTTCTGTCTTCTTGTGTCCTTATATCTGCAGAGCCAATATCAAGCCCCTAGTATACACCTTACAGTAGAATGTATATCACTACAGGTAACATTTACCGTTTATTAGGTACTAACAGTGAGCCAGAGACTGTTCTATGTGCTTTTCCCATGCTTATCACTTATTCCTCTGCCCATCCTTGGAGGGAGGCACTGTCCCTACCTCCGTTCTATAGATGGGGACACAGGCAGGGAAGGCAGTATTGGCTGAGGCCCCGAGTTAGTGCGTGGAAGAGCCTCACAGCCCCCTTTCATGTCCACTGTGACCTCTGTGGTCTAGACAGCCCCCTCAGTCTTACTATATTTTATTTTATTTTAATATATTTTTATTGATTTCAGAGAGGAAGGGAGAAGGAGAGAGAGAAACATCAATGATAAGAGGGAATCATTGATCAGCTGCCTCCTGCACGCCCCACACTGAGGATCGAGCCCTCAACCTGGGTGTGTGCCCTGACCGGGAATTGAACCTTTCAGTCCACAGGCCAACACTCTATCCACTGAGCCAAACTAGCTATGGCCAGACTTACTGTATTTTAACAAGATATGCGAATATTGAGGATCAGAAGCATACCTCACCCTTGCTTTTTATATGACAGACAATGCACTATGTTGTTTAATTATTTTAAGCAGTCACCTCCACAGCTATGATTTCATTGGTAATAGTTTATTATTATTTACACGTCTTCTGAGCCAGAGTTTTCCAGGTTCTCAGCATATCTCAGACTTCTTTCATATTGTATAGAGCCCTTCAATTCAGTATTGCCAATGCTGAGGGGTTTATTTGAAATCGCAGTAAAATGTATTTAGTTTATTATCTGTTGTTGAAGATGTCCGTATGATTGTCCTTTGTTTTCATAGAGGCGTCCAGGACCACTGTTGTTTGCAGTTTCTGGAAGCATTTCAAGGCACCAGTCAGGTGTCGAGGGAGCAATGGAAGAGCACAAGGAGGAAGAGATGCTAGATATCCTGCGACTGAACGTGGGTGGCTGTGTTTACACGGCCAGGCGCGAGTCCCTGTGCCGATTTAAAGACTCCATGTTGGCTTCCATGTTCAGTGGTCGTTTTCCTCTAAAAACAGATGAGTCAGGTAAATATCTACCATCTGTAAGCATGATCATGCATGCATATTCACTAAAGTAGGAGTCTAGTTTAAATTCCCTTTGATTTTCCTAATTACAATGACATTGATTAGATTAGCTTGCTAATTAGTGAGATCATCAGTACTGTATGGAGATTTATTAAAATTAATAAATTTTAATTAATACACGAAGAAATTAAACACCAGTTCCTAGAATCTGTGATGCTTTCGCTGAAAGTTGACAACACAGTGAGAGTGTGTGAAGGCCAATCGCGACTTGATTTATGGGGATTATATTTTGAAAATTGTTATGTTCATGAAATTCCATGGGTAAAGGTATTGAGGCCAATTAAAAATATTAGCTTCTCTCTGTGTTTTTCAAGTTAAAAGATACATATTTCTGGAAAAGCAGATGCCCTCAGAGCTGACAGGGCTGTCATTGTGAGTGTAGAGTCAGTGTTAAACTTGTCACCTGGTGCAGCTGGAATTTGCATATCCTAGAGGTTCCGGGGCTCCTGGTACCCATTCTTGCTTCTGTGCTAGAAGAGAGGGCTCGCGGGGCCTTGGGCACGAGGGGCTGTCAGTCAGCCCTGGGTCGCAGAGATGGCTTTGCCAGCGGAATGGCAGTGGAAAGCATGGAGAGTCACCGATGGCTGGGGCCCAGGGTCCATCTGGACAGGAAGGTTGCTGGTGGAAGATGAAAACCAGAGATTGAGGTTTTTTTTCTGTCTCCAAGTTTTACCTTCTTAATCCCTTCTTTTCTAAACTAATCAAGGGAGAAAAGGAATTACTGAGTAACTCACATAGGACTGTTGTTTTTTTTTAAAAATTCTGCTATATTGCCCAAGAAAAGCCTTTTCTTATAAAGTAGCACCAGCAGAGCATTTTAAAAAGTTTTTATTTTATTGATTTCAGAGAGGAAGGGAGAGGGAGAGAGGGCATCCGCGATAGAAGCATCAATGATAAGAATCGATGATCTGCTGCCTCCTACACTCACCCCACTGGGGACTGAGCCTGCAACCTGGGCATGTGCCCTGATGGGGAATCGAACTGTGACCTCCTGGTTCATAGGTTGACGTTCAACTCCTGAGCCACGCCAGCCGGGCGCATTTGCTTTTTGAAGTTTAGATTTTCACAGCACAGGGGGACTAACCTGATAAATCCATACACTGGACATAGTAACAGGCCCCTGCAAGCCCTCAGGAGAGAGAAACTCACAGGCCTTTCTGGCCTGAAGTTAGGGGTAATTTCCCACCTCTGCCAGCAGTCTGAGGTCTCTGCAGCTTTTGCAGGAGTTTTAGTGGCATTATGGTCATTGCACCCAAAATTCCAAATGGAGCTCAGAGCATGCATTTTCCTACATGGAGGGTGGGAGTGCAGAGGATCACCACATTTGGCTAAACCTATTTGAAACTAGATGCAAACTTTCTTGTGAGAGACATTCCTACCCTGTTTTCCCCCAAATAAGACAGTATCTTATATTAATTTTTTCTCCCAAAGTTGTGCTAAGGTCTTATTTTCAGGGGATGTCTTATCTTTCCATGCGCTAGGTCTTATTTTCGGAGGATGTCTTATTTTCGGGGAAACACGGTACCTCTATCTGGCCTTAGTTTGACATGCGGAAATGTTGTCAGTGGTCATATGTATCTGTGCGATGACTTTGGAACTGAATCTCTTCTAGGGGCTTGTGTTATTGACCGTGATGGACACCTGTTTAAGTACCTTTTGGATTATCTCCACGGAGAAGTTCACATTCCCACAGAGGAGCAAACCCGAGTCGCTCTGCAGGAAGAGGCTGATTACTTTGGCATCCCTTATCCGTACAGCCTGTCTGACCACTTGGCCAATGAAATGGAGACATATTCTTTAAGGTCAAATATAGAACTTAAAAAGGTCTTGGCATTTTCTTAAGTTTTAAAATATATATATGTACACACATATATATACATATATTTATTTATTCTGTACAAAGCAATGTGTGTTATTTTGCATAGCCTGTGCTGTCACATGAACCCAGCACGAGGCAGTTTTACTTTTTTATAATTTTGAAGAAGACACATTTTTAAATGACTACTAGTCATGTTTTTAAGGCCAAAATTCTATTTTGGGAAAATGCATTACATCAATTGAAAGTTTATGGAGCTTTTATTTTTCATTAAAGATTTAACACTTTAATGGCTATTTTATAGAACTCTTCTTCTCTTGAAGGTCTTTTTGAATTAAGAGCAATACTGTAGTAGTGAGGGTATGGTGGTATTACTTTGTTTACTGAAATGTTGTTGTTTTTAAAGAAAGGTCATAGTATATAAAAGATTTTATAAAATTTCTTACCCGAATTAGTGAGTATAAAGTTTGTTACTAAGTTAGAACATCAGCTTGATTAATTCACTTTGAGATCAGTAAATTTTTTTAAAGATGCTTCTATTTTAAATCACATTTTAAAGGTCTTTATTACTTAATTAACTGCTTTTGTTTTATTGATAAGTATTATGTTTCTATTAATTAGCACATTTGGACATTTAGATAATTGTTGATAGTGAAAACAGACCTGAATTAATATGAATTCATTGATTTGGATATCAGTGTTTAGGACAGCAATCTGAGGCATGAGAGAGCAGCATAGAGAAAGTTCACTTGGTTCCAGATCCCCTTCAGGATTTTGCATGATTGTATAATATGTGTTCTGCTACTGAAGTTCTTTATAAACTGAGTTGTTAGATAGTTTTTTGGTGTTTTTTTTTTTTTTTTTTTTTTTTTTTTTTTTTGCCACATTTGCAGAATGAACCTAAAAAAAACTTGACTAGAAGGTTGGGTGGGTTAACATTCATCTTTTGAAGTCCCAACTCTGTAGTCTTTTGTTCCTGGTTTGTAAGCAAAAAGGACATAACACGCATACACTCATTCTGCTCACCAACACATTTACTTCAGATGTTTTAGGCATAGGGAGCACCGTTCTAGAGATTGTGTGGAATAGAAAGACATACAACATAGGGTTCTTGCCCTTGAACAGTTTATAATATAGTTGGGAATTCTCATAGATGTGCAAGTAAAGTTAAAAACCAATACAGGAGTTAGATAGCGATATAAAATGGCAATGCAAGACATAGCAGGGCCTGTTTTCACTCTCTGAGTTAGTACATATCCAGCCTCTCCTTTGTGTCAGGCAGTGTCTCAGGCACTCTGCAGGCACTTGGGCTGTAACAGATAAAAGTGCTTTCCTCAGGCTCACAGCAATAATGATGCCATTTCTCCCCAGCTTGGCCCTTGCCACCCCGCTGGGCAAAGCCTTCCTGCTCTATGCCCCTCAGCCCTGCAAAGGCTCACCTAGTGGCTCTTACCACATTGTGTGCTGCTGGCTTACTTAACGTCTGTCTTCTGCATCAGCCGTAAATCCTGGAGGGCCAGGACCCTGTCTTGCTCAACATTATGTCTCCAGAACTTTAGACAGTGCTCAGTGCATAGTAGCTACTTAATATTCAAGTGAATGAATGAATGAACAGGGGAGTAAGTGCCAAGTGAGTTCAGACAGTCTGTATTTAGTTTATATATTCATACCTTTCAGTGTAAAAGAGCAAGTTCAAAATCTGCTTAATCCATGATTGTATTTGGATTTAAAAATAAGCATCAATCATGGGAGGGAGGGGTGGTTAGTAGGAGATAAAAGGAAGATTGAGTCAAGTGGAAAATTTGGGGAAAATTAAAGGGAGAACTAAAAAGGTCTACTTTTAGTTATGTGAAGATTTAAAAATTAAAAGTGATGCTGATACTGAGGTTAAAGAAGGAGAAATAAAATGGAATTTCTACCAGGAAAAGGGTTCTCTCGGTGAAATGCTGTTAGGTTTTTGAGTGATGCTTTTTTTGTGATTTGCCCCTCACTCCAAGTTCAACACATGCATGTTTGGTTCTTAAAGACATAAAGATTAGGAATAATATTTTTTGTATGTTTGTTTTTTGTGTTATGACCAACTGAAATTGCAGCTTTCCTTGAAAGTAACAGCAAATTAATTTTTTAATTAAAAAATTACTCTTCAGAATTAAATTCAAATTGATGTATACATATTTTTTTGCTCCAGGCTTTAACAGACTTCTGTGATTCGTATGGTTTAGTTTGCACCAAACCAACAGTTTGGGTTCTTCACTATCTTAACACATCCGGTGCAAGCTGTGAAAGTAGAATTATTGGAGTATATGCCACAAAAACGGATGGAACAGATGCTATTGATAAGCAGCTAGGAGGAAGAATTCACAGTAAAAGTATTTTTAAAAGGTATGTCCATATTTAAAAAAGAAAAAGGAACAAAATTAAGTCTTGATCTTTTCTAAGAGGTGTTACTGAATGGTGTAGAGGTGTTTCCCTCTTTTCCAAGTCCAGCACAGGAAAGGAATGAGTCTGGTTCCTAAGTGGAGGAGCTGGGGATTAAGAAATAAAAGAAAGAAAACAAGCAAGACACAGAAATAGAAATAAGCTGGGAGCCAGGTAGGATGCTGCCACGATGGAGGGACAGGACCCTGAGCCCACACAGCAAATTTATTTTATACCCCAAATACCAGGAAGTATCACCAAAACTTAGGATCAAAGGAGCTTATTTGTATTCTTGAGTAGGCCCCAGCATTCCTGGTGCTTGCCTGGATTTACATATCTAGACCCCCTCCAGACACCTGGACAAAGATAAAAGCCAATACTGAATAACACTTTCCACCTTCATGGGGAATGTGTATCTGAGATGTGGTTCTGCCAGTTGCCTTGGACTCAGCTGAACAACAATTTAAAGAATGTCCATATGCCTTCCTAGGAGGCCCTAAACAGAATGGAATATGTGATTGACCAGAAAAGACCATCAGCAGCTCTCAACACACAGAGTGAGCGTTCTGGGCTGTTGAGACAGAAGTTATAATTAAGATAATTTCACAAATAAGCTGTGGGCTATCTATATGGTTTAGTACTGTGCTTCTTAGCTGGATATGGACAGCAGAATTACCTGTGTGACTTTATAAAAAAAAAGAAAAGGAAGAAAGAAAAGCAAAGCCAGATGCCTGGGTATCTCAGCCATAGCCTTAGGGAAGAAGCCCTGGCCAAGGAGCCAGTAGGCCCAGTGAGTGACCCCCGACTGGCCTGTGCATTGGTGTCTCACTCTGAGAAATGATTGGAGACTTTCCTGGACCCTTCCAGCCTTAAAATTCTATGATTTGAACATGTTCAATTCTTAAGGGTTATTCTCTTAATATTTTTCCTGTAATCTCATTTACACTGGTCAATTCACTTAGCAATTTTTTAAAAAAGTTCTCTGGGATATTGAATTAGGGCACATATTAGTGACAAATACGTGACCACATGAGTTTGTTTTTAGATTGTTAAATATGTCACCATTTTCTGAGTTCTTTACGGCAGAGATGTTTCTATATGAGATATATAACTGCCTGGCAAAGTGCTAGGAAAGTCCAAAGCGTGCAACTGCTTTTAACTTTTTAGAAAGTTGTAGTGGAACTTCATTGTTATTTAATAAATTTTAGTCAGAGTTGAGTTTTTTTCTAACATTATTGGAGTTAGGTGATTTTTAGAAAAGTTATTTTAAAGACTTGTTGATTTGTCTGCACGGTCTATGTATAGTAAAATTAACAAGTATTTTACTACTGTAAAAAGAGATCAAATGTAGGTTAGTATATTCATATACTACATAACACTCATATAGTATATAGAATTATATATGTGCTTAACTGTCACAGAACAAACTTTCCTTAATGAACAAGCACTTACTGTCTGTTAGCTGTACACACACACACACACACACACACACACACACACACATTCCTACCTACGTGGTATATTTTCATTATCTTTTGCAATCTTCCTAGAGAGGCGGGAAATAATGTTCAGTACATTTGGAGCTATTATTCAGCAGCAGAACTGAAGAAAATGATGGATGCCTTTGATGCCTGGGAAGGAAAAGGTACAGTCCAGTTCTTTTATTTTATGGCAGAAGGAGATGGATCCTTAGTAAGACAAAGTAAGCTTAGATATGCATTTCTTTTTTTGAGGAAATATTTTTTATATGGATCTAGGTATTTGTCATTTCATGGTAACAATGAGATAAATTTACTTACAAATCTTTAAACCTTGTGAGTTGCTAGATATAGTTAATAATTTATAATTCAGTAACTGAAAATATGCTTCTATTAATTATGCTTATTTAGTTCAATTAAACAAGAGGTTGCTTAGCACCTACTATATGTTACCTACTACTGTCCTAGGAAGTATATCTCTAAGTTAAGCATAAAATGTATAAACATAAAAAAAAAGAGACAGAGGAAATAAAAATAACGCTGGTAAGATTCCTAAAGGACCCTTATAAAAAATTAAAATAATCTTTAAATACACACTTTGAAATGTGGCCATTTTTACCAAGCTGCTGATAGGAGAATTGATAATAATAATGCTATTTAATCCTAAAACAACTTCCTATGCTCTTTACCACTTTATTGGTGAGAAACTGAGTCTCAGAGAGGCCATACCACTTGCTTAAGGATCATAGATGGTTAACTGTTCCATGCCCAAGATGCTCCCCCTCTCTCCCCAATTAGTAAGCATTTTGGAGTGTGAAGTGCAGCCATTATACTAAATCCTAAAAATGGGCCCAAAGATAAATAGCACACATTTAGTCCTCAAATAATCTTGAAAGCGGATAGAAACAGAGATTGCAAGTCATTATAAAATGGAATAAAAAGAGTGGAAGAGGCTTTTAAAAACTACATCAGCTGTTCCTCCTTTAGACTGATGCCAGTACCAATCTCTTCCTTCCTCATCTTTGCTTCCCTCACTTTTCCTCCTTTTTTCTTTCTTCTCATACCCCTCTCGCAGACAGGATCAAGTAGAATGAAAGGAATGCTATTAGCTTATTCTTTCAGATTTAACTGATTTGGAGACACTTGGGCTTAAAGCTGAGGAACAAACCCATGGTGTCCTGCCTCCTTCTATGCCCCTGCCTGGTGGGTTGCCCTGCTCCGGAGGGCCTGGCGGGCTTCTCTGTCTGCTGATTTAGGAAGCTGAGCAGAGAGCTGTAATCCCTGACTTGAACAAAGCTTGTGATCCCCAACTGTAACAAAGCGAGCAGCTGCCTTTAGCTTTTTAGAGAGCAAGTAGTGGAGCATCACTGTTACTGAATAAAGTTCAGGAAGGTCTGTGGAAAGCTCTAAGTCAAGAAGCAGAAGAGAAAGGCCAGTGGGAAGGAAGAAGACATTTATTGCGATTTGTGAACAATATGTATTTCTAGAAAGCTCAGAAGAATCTACTAGTGGTATTTTAAGTGATGCGTTTAGTAGACTAGCTGTATACAATATATGTAAACAAAGAGCAACTTGTTTATGATACATTAATTAGAAAGTATAGGGGAAACAAAAATAACTAGGATTGCCTACCAATAAATGCTTGAGTGTTTTGTGAAGAAAACTGCTAGAATGTATTTAGCCACCCATCCATCCATATAAAATGAAGACATGAATGCTACGGTGAGACATGCCATGGTCCTGAAAGGAAAATCTGAATATTATAAAGATGTCAGTTCTTCTGAGATTATATTGTAAGTTTAACACAATTCCTACCAAAATATCAACAGGACTCTTTGGGAATCTTGAAATGATTCTAAAATTCCTTTGAGAGATTAAACGAAAAATAACCAAGAACATTTTGGGAAGTAGAGGTTATTAGAGGGATGAGTCTAACTGTTTGATAATAATTAAGCGGTAGCCCGGCTGGTTGAATGTTGACCCATGAACCAAGAGGTCCCCAGTTTGATTCTGGGTTGTGGGCTCAATCCCTAATGGGGCGCGTGCAGGAGGCAGCCAATCGATGATTCTCATCATTGATGTTTCTATTTATCCCTCTCCCTTCTTCTCTCAGAAATCAATAAAAACATATTAAAAAAAAAACATGATGTAGATAATAATAACAACCATGTGTTCCTGGTGTAAGAATAGATGCAGAGAGCAAGAGTAAACCCCAATAAAGTTATAAGAATAAAATTAGGAAGTAACAAGAAAGTCACAGAGTTGATTGACTATCAGTGAAAAAAATGACAGGCTACTTAATATGTAATTGAGAAGTATGTTTGAGATAAAAACATCTTTGACCTCACCTCATTTATCAAAATTAGCCCAGTTAGATTTATGAATGAAAAATGGAACTATAGTAAACTAAAAGGAAATTTAAGCCAATAATTGATTTCTTAGGAGGGAAAGAAATGAGGCATGAAGCTCGGACGCTCTCCCTGGCTCCTCTTCTAGGAGACTGTGTCCCTGCACCGTGGACAGAGGCTCTCTCAACGATGCCTTTCTCTTCCAGGCGTCAGCTACTGGCGGGTGCCGCACGAGCTGATCGAGTGCTGGACCCTGGAGGAGCGGCCTCTACTGGGGAGCCTGCGCCACATGGCCCCCCTTCGGAAGAGGTGAGCTCTGCTTGGGGATGTTTGTTAATCTGTGACCCATATTTTTTCTGACTTTATTGGGGAAATGAATAACGGTTCTTGACCATACTAAAAGCCTATTAATCAATCACGTAGATGACTATTTTGCCTTACCACTGAAATATAAATCTCGATAAATGCAAATTTACCAAAACTAGGTAAAAGGCAGAAATAATTCTCTAAAACGGAGTTAGAGTATGCTCTTTTGGGGAGAGTGATTTTAATAACACCAGTGGAGATAGGGAATGCTGTGGTAAGTAGTTTTGAAATCCAGGCTTTATTGGTAATAGTAAAAAAAAATTATTTGTTAGATTTAACATTTGAAATTTCCCATGACTTATTCTGAATTCCTTTCTCCTTCCCAATGTCACAAATAGCATTTTAAGTTAATGATATTGTCTTGTGTTCTTTAAAATTACTAGCATTAAACTCAGTCCACATCTGTTCTCTGTGCTTTAAATACATTTAAATATCATCTTTGTTATCGTCTGGGAATTATTCATGGCTTGCAGGTGTTCTGATTATTTCTGGATTTCTGCTCTAGAACTTGATTCAAAGCCTCTGTGGAATTCTAGAATGCTCTCTCACATGTACCCTCTGGATTTTTCTCAGAAATGCCGCATTTATTCAGGGTTTAGTAATCAATTATCTCTTGTTAAAACAGATGATTTTCCTAAAGGTTCTCGTTTTGTTATCACTATTTATTTTGCCCATTGAACCTCCTGGGGTGTTAAGCGGGGTGTGGAGACCTTTTGGGTTATCACACTGTGGAGCGGGGTAGAAGCCGGGATTGCCATTAAATGTTCTAGAATGCACGGGGCGGCCCCCAAAGCAAAGCACTAGCTGACCCAAAGTGACAGTAGTGCCAAGACGAGAAACCTGGGTTTGGAGTCTGCTGGGCTGGGAACGCTCTTCTTCTGCAGGAAGCCTGGGAAAACACTCGGGATGGGATGTGCCTGGCTGTCCCTGGATCGCGCCAGGGTTCTTGGGAACAGAGTGATATGTTGTGTAATTCTCACATAACATCTCATGTCCACATTGTAACTTGTTCGTATTATATGGGATTTTAAAGGGTTCCTATGCAAGTTGAAACAATCTCCTATAAACTGGCCGATGTACTTACTGCCCATGAGAAAGGAGGCAGTTGGTAGCATCCACCTTTTAGCTCACATTCTTGACGGAAACCTTTTTGTTCACCTTAGAGGCGAGTTTGGGAGCCGGTTTCTTTAGCTACTGATGGTGTATGTGCTGACGGGCATGTTCTGTGTTTGCAGGAGGCTGATGGTGCTGGACGAAGGGGAGGAAGGCGTGAACTGTAAGGTTGGTCCTAAACCTGTCAGGTTTTCGGGCCCTTCCACCAGCACCCAAATCAAGGTCAAGAACTCGGCTTCCGTCCGGGTGTCCCCGTCTCCAAGCGGAGTGCCCGCTCAGCAGTCTGCACTGTCTAAGGCCCTGTCCCTGGTGGGCACTGAGGGTCCTGAAAATGGGGCCACACCCCCCCCTCCAGCCAAGGTCCTGCTGTGCGACAAGAAGGCCACCCCACCTCGGGTGATAAAGCTGAAGAGGACTCCACTGTGTGCCACGGGGCCTCCCCCGCCTGCCTGCCCAGCTGCCAGCCCCAAGGGGGCCCCGCCACCACCCCAAGCGCCCACCTTGGATGTGCGGACTGAGAACAGGCAGGGCAAGACGGATTGAAGGGAGCGCTGGGCGCCAGACACCCTGTTGGCCTCTCAGGGCTGCCAACCGGTGATGCACAAGTGACGCTGTGGATGCTCTAGAGGTGACAGCGTCATGCTGGCATTCAGGATAATTACAGGGGAAAGAACCTGGGACGTAAGAGTGGAGGAGGGGAGACTTTAGGTGGTTGGGACTACAGTTACTTCTCATTTTCCCAACTTAATGATTACTTGTCTACAGTTTGAATTTCCAGTTTTTAATTTTTTTAATGGTTGGTTGGTATTAGAGTGACAAATCAGTACAGTAACATCATCACCAGAGAAGTTGACGTTGTTGCTGAAATAATTGTGGGCTGGAGGCACTTTAGCAGCCCAGGGGGAGGAGTGGGTCCGGCTGAGATCCTCCTGCCTTGGACCAGCAGGGGTGCTGCAGGGCTCCGGGTGGTGGCACAACCCAGAGGGGCAGAGGGAACGCAGATCTGGGGAACTCTCCCAGTCTCCAAGGCAACAGGAGAAGAAAGATGGGGAGGGGCAAGAGATAGAGACCACACTTTGATGTTCACTTAATTAAACTGTTTTCTTTTCCAGATTGGCTTTTTTTTTTATTTCCTTTTTCAAATTTAGACACACACACACACACACACACACACACACACACACACAGACGTCCATTTGTTGTTCCACTTATCTATGCTTTCATTAGTGATCCTGTATGTGCCCTAATGGGATCAGACCCGCAACCTTGATGTATAGGACAACGCTCTAACCAATCTAGCTACCCAGTCAGGACCTAGGTTGGCTTTTTTTATTTTTTCCATTAGCAGATGCATTTGTACATCACAACAAGGCTTCTTGGAATAAGAACTATAGAGCATATTTTTTTGAAAATGCTTTGAAAAGGAGAACGTAACAGTTTAACTTTCTAACTAGAGTTTTCCAGAACTGACCTTTGAAGAGTCATTCTGATGATACAATATGATCTTTATGCATATAAGATCCACATAACTTGAATTTAATGTTTTTAAGCAGAATCTTTGGGTTAATCCTCTTTTTCACAGCTGTTCAGTCGTGTGTGTTTACTCATCCATGTTGTGTTTTGCAGTTGGGTTGCATATGGCTGCGTCTGTGTGTTAACAAGTTCACAAAGCGGGTGCTTTCTCCTTAGTGCTTCTCCTTGTAGTTGCATTGTTTTGAGAGAGTAAAGTAACTATTCAAAATGTTACTTTTTACAAAATAAAGTGAAACTTTTCCATAAGAAGTGACATTTTCTGTTACTATACTTATTCTTAAGCCTTGGTGCCCTTTAGTATTTGAAAGCTTGCCAGTTTGTGTGGGTTATCTATTTCTGCTTACAAAATTGCTTTCCTGTGTAAGTAATGTATGAAATAATAAGCCAATTACAGACAGCCTTTTAAAATAGGTGGCTTATTTGGCTGAAAATGGAATATTTAACTGAAGAGGCATGGCTGACATTCCCTTGTAGAATATATAAAATTTTGAAAAATACTGTTAAAGAGAATCCAGGCATCCCGAAAACCAAAGACCACAGTGAACTTTTGGAACTTCGAATGAGGGCGTTGTTAGTACTGCTTGAGCTAGGACATACTGAATCGCTGATTCATATAAGAAAATATGATACTACTAATAAATGTGTGATGCTTACTTTATACCTAATAAACATTTATCTGGAAAGGAAACATCTTGAAGATTAATCATGGGTGATTCAGTCAATGGCCTTCATTTCTTGGTATCACGTGGCTTCAGGGATAGGCTACTTAGCACATTAGTCTTTCTAGGAAAAGAGGTTTTGGAATAACTGCTTGGCTGTGGTGTAGCTGATTTTTAAGTGTTTTTGTTTTGATATCGCTTTATGTTGCAGTTTATAAAGTATTTTCATATTTTTTATTTCATTCTGTTCATCAGGAGTCAAAGTCAAATTCAGACTGTTGGAGAAACATGAACAATACGTTATTTGGATGTGGTTCCCTGGAGTGTAGGGTAATTTCACAGGAAAACACATTTTTCCTAACAACCCTACAAACACGAAAGGGTTGGTAACTCATCATAACCCATTGTTCTTCCTGGAAAAAATAAAGATTAATAATAGGAAAGCATGCTTTATAAAGAGTAATTCAGTATCATTACTTTTCAATGGAGGGGGGGTGGTTAAGTTTATATAGTAGTTGAATCAGGGGACACAATAGAAATTCTTAATGGTAAGTAGGATAGTAGGGATTGCTCATATAAAAAAAGATCACTGATGATGCTCTTTCAGGTAATCTCTGTTGAACACTGGTTTGCCCCACTTAAAACTGGTTAGTTATATCATGGAGAGCATACAGCTGGCCATAGGGACCTACCTACTGAAGGATTCGTTTTGTGTATATTTTTAAGCTGGTTTGTTTCAGTATTGCCTTACATTGCAGTTTGTAAAATAGTTTCATATATTTCATTTCCTCATGTTCATTATGCTTTTTAGTTTCAGACAACAACATACTACAGCTCTCCTGTCAAGTCCTTAAAGATCAAGACGACGAGCTTTAGCAAAGTTAAGGCTGTAAAATAACGACAGCCTCCACCCTCTACCTGGGCTCCCCATTCCCCATATTTTAGCCCCATAATCTGATTTCTGCAGGATGACACAGCATCACTGACAATAGGATAAGCTAGAGGGAGGTAAAATGTGAATTTGTTTAATATTTAAAGTTTTTGAGCAAAAAGTATTAAGAATTGGATGACATGTCTGTCTCCAACTCAACAGGGACCCTGTCTCCCTGTCCCTACTACACACTAGGCCTTCAGTAAACTTCTGAGCAGTTAGCCCCTCACCCCCACCCAGTTATTGTAGGAAATGTCTCTGGTAGCAGTCTTCAGGGCGTGGAAACTGACTTCCCACCTGGCAGAGTTCATACCCTCAGAACCAGGTGGGCCTCCTTAGTACTGTGGTCACTGTTAGTAGTGGCTACGGCCGTTACATGGCTTGTGAAGCTATTTAAAGGAAGTCAGAGAGTGGATCACCAGATCCCAGAGAGGTCGCTGGCAGATACTCCCTGGCTTCCGAGAAGGAAGAAGCAGGCTGGCCTTTCCCCGCCATAGGCTCCTGCCGGGATTGCTGACGCAGATTTATTTATTTTTCTCATTCACAGACCGAAACCTATTGCTTTCTCAGCAAGCGCTAACATTGAAAAAATCGTTGGTTCACTTTCCAGTCTCTGGTTCAGCACAATACAGTTATTACCCAGCTCTACCTTGGCTGTGAACATACAGTCCCATTTGGCTTTACCAGAGAAGTTGTTCATAGAACGCATTTTAATTTAAGTACTGGGTTGAATATGCAGATTGTCCTGTAAAGGGAAGAATGCTGGCATTCATATGACCGTAAGGTTACCTGGCAAAGGATGGAAATGCCTGCAATCTCTTTGAGTAACCTTAGTCTGCCTTTGGTGGGAGGCTGGTTAGAGACCAAGTAGGAAGTAGGAACCTAACAATGAAGGGAAAGCTTTTTCTACGGCAAATGGAAAGTTTTTCCAAACGATTCACATGTGTGTTTTCCACGTTAACAAGGGACTTTCTGACTGTGGACAACAGGTCATTTCTCCGGATGCCAGCACTCTCCCTGAAAACTCAGCAAGCCTCTGAGTGGTCAGTGAAGGGTGGCTGAGTGGTCTCTGTGGAGGGCCCAGTGAGTGTGCAGGCTCTGAGGCGTGTAGCACAGCCCCAAAAGGAAGCGTCCCCAAGAGCAGGCAGAGAGGAACTGGTGTAGAGCTGTTCTCCGAGTTTAGTCTTCACGCAATCTGGTTGGCAGGGCGGCTCAGTGGGCCGGTTCCACCTGAGTCTCGTCAGGGTCATGAGGGAGACACGTGGTTCGCTTTGTTACAGAAAAACCGCTTTCCCATTGTTCGCATGTTGCGGCCCCAGGTAGCCGTGCACTTAAAAAATAATAATAATAGTAAAAACAACACGATCGGTACAACCAAGAAGTGAAATACACAATAAAATAACACAAGGATGGCATTTCATTTGTAGTGCATGGAAAATGGTTAACAAGCCACGCGCACCCTGTCTGCTGGCTGCAGCTAAGACAGACTGAGTCGTGGCAGCATTCTGCCCTACGTGTTTACTGAACAATATTTCATCTTATGTTGCTTCTTAGACTTTTCCTTCTCTCACCCCAAAGCCCTCCTTCCCTTAGTAACATGTTGCTCCGTTACGGGAATGAATTTGGGGGCCTGACGCTTAGAAGAGAAACTCTTTTTAAACAGAGAGCACATTATGGGAAGGAAAAGGTGGTGTTTTCGCTAGTGTGGGGAAAAGGCACACATTGTTTCCTTCTGCCCAGATTTCTTTCTTTTTAAAAAAAATATATTTTTATTGATTTTTTTTTACAGAGAGGAAGGGAGAGGGATAGATAGCTAGAAACATCAATGAGAGAGAAACATAGATCAGCTGCCTCCTGCACACTCCCTATTGGGGATGTGCCCACAACCAAGGTACATGCCCTTGACCTGAATCAAACATGGGACTTTTCAGTCCATAGGCCCATGCTCTATCCACTGAGCCAAACTGATTTCAGCTGCCCAGATTTGTTAAAACGTTGGACATTCTGTTTCCAGAGCAGCCCCTTCAGGAACTCGGTCCCTAGTTCCCCAGGTTGGAAGGTGTGGGGATTTGGCTTCTATGGGGATGGTACAAAGAGCCCAAGGACAGGAGAGACTCTCCCTTAGAGCAGCTGTGGGGACCGTCCTGCCTACAGGCCCTACGAGGCCTGAGAAGTCACAAGTCTGGGCCTGCCAGGGCACTGGGGTGAGTGAATTCAATGTTTGACCAACATAGCAGGCTGATTTCTAAGCTGATAATTCTGTATGGCCCCAAAATGGTGTTATGCTAGCATAGTCCCAATGGCCCCCGCAGGAAAAGGTTCCCACCGTGGTTTAGACTCTCACTGGGGGTTGGACTGTCTGGATCTGGTAACCTGAGCCGAACCCACCAAGAAGCCAGCACCGTTCATCCACCCTCTGCTCCCTTTCTCCACTCCCCTGGCTCCCTACGGCCATGGTTTTCAGCGGCGACACCACTGACATTTGGGCCTGGAAAATTCCTTATTTGGGGCGGCTGTGTTGTGCACTGGAGAAGGTTGAGCGGCACCCCTGGCTGGTACCTCCCGCCCCAGCTGTCACAATCAAAATGTTTCCAGACTTTTCCAAATGTCAGGGGGGTAATGGGTGGGCACAAAATCTATTCCCCCGAGCCAAGAACCATCGTTGTATTGGGTGATTTAATCTGAGCAACATCACTGCCTCTCCTAATTGGGCAGTGGCTGAAGACGCGCACAGGAGCTGTCCATCCCAGCGGGAATGGAGCCCGGGGATGGATGGGAGGTAATGAGAATCCCTGGATTTAGTGACTTCCTATTTTCTTCTCATAAGATTAGAGCCGTTCAATTAGCTCAGGACTTTCAGAAAAATGCTGGGGCAATGTATTAGTCAATCAAGCTATTGATATTATTGATCATTGTCTTTGCTATTTCATTGTTTCCTTAGGAAATCTGGAAGCCAGTGACCGACTCTTCCTCTTTTGCTTCGTTTCTGGCACCTGAGAGCAATCTGGACACCCAGCCAACCAGTGCCCGAATTTTAGGTACGGCCTCTGAAGCAAGTGTGGTACAAAGGTGCCATCAGGCATTTCATGGACCCTGTCAGAGGTCTGCTGGGAAATGAGTCTTACCCTCTGCGGACACAAGAGGGCACTGCACACAGGCAGTACTGTAAACCTGCAGGAGGGACTGGCGGGAAGGAGGAAGCTTAGAGGGTGTTGCATTCAGGCACTTCCCCATCAGGCTGATCTCTCTCTTCTGCTCCCCTTATCCTCAGTTGCCCTAGAGAAAGAACTATCCAGATCCTTTTTCTCCCCTGCGGTTAAATCAAGGTTGAGGCTCAAATTTAAGCTCTCAGAGTCAAAATTCCCAAATCTCTTTCTTTGGCAAAAATATGTACATCAGTTGTAGTCTGGCAACTTCTCCCAGTCGCCTGGTTGGATGTCACTTCCCAAAGAATGTTTAATCAGAGCCTCTTTTTCCGACACTGGCAGGACAGAGCTGCTCATGAACTGTGCTTTAAGTTGGATGTGGTGTGTTTCTGGTTTCTTCCCCAAACTCTTGTTTGGCCTTGACTGAGGCTCAGCTGTGTTCTGATCAGTGTTTAACTGTCTGAGCCCAGTAGCATTCAGCCCCAGGAGTCTCCACAGCACAGAGCTGGGGACGCAGGCTCTCACGTGAAATGTAAATGTGGAATGTAACTGGGAACCCAACAGGGAGCTTTGGCATTTACACATGGAGTCTTGGTACAACACAGGTGAATTGTGAAGTTATCCCATCTTCCTGGGAATGAAATGTCTCAATCTCTGCTAGGAAATATGTTGAAGAGAGAGGAGTGGGTTCTTCTGGCTATGGTGCATTAAGTAGAGAGATTAGAGTGTGCATAGCCTGTGGATTTTTTTTTTTAAAAAGGGGTTTAAAACATTTAAAAATAGTTTTTTTTATTTTTTATTTTTTTATTATTATTTTTTAAAATATATTTTGATTTTTCACAGAGAGGAAGGGAGAGATAGAGAGCTAGAAACGTCGATGAGAGAGTAACATCGACCAGCTGCCTCTTGCACATCCCCTACTGCGGGATGTGCCCGCAAACATACGTGCCCCTGACCAGAATCGAACCTGGAATCTTTCAGTCTGCAGGTTGACGCTCTATCTACTGAGCCAAACCGGTTTCGGCAGGACTAAAACTTTTAAAAAGAATGGCAGCCTTGACCCAGATCTCGAGGGTCACACCAATGATTCCACCAGAACAGATGTCTACTTAGTAATATAGTATTTCCATGGCTGGCATTGGAACCAAATAATCGAAACCACTGTTTCAAAATGCAAACTAGCAAATGTTCACAAGGTCTACGAGAAAGGCAAAATGCAGAAGAAAACATCGGTCTGAGTGCTCTTTGCATTGTTGATGTTGTTGCTCCTTTGCGGTGAGCTGGGAGCATTCGCTATGTGTTTAGGAATGTGTCTGAACTTTCTTAACCCCGAGGGTAACCTGTGCGAATGAGTCAGGGCTGAGGGTGGCTGGGTCGGACCCTGCCCAAGGCAGGTGTGCACTCCTGACCTGGTAAATCCCCTTGTTTTTCTGCTGCAAGAATGACTTGACTCATCCTTAGAGCTGGTGCATGTACACTGACACGTGTCAGCGGCGAGCCGAGTCCCGCTACGCAAAATTGGTGCAAAGCACTTCCGTTTTGTAACATTTAAACTCAGGGCCTCTGAAGGAATAAACGGGAAGGCAGCCCTGGACATTTATCTTTCTTATTTGAACGAACAGCTCTTCCTTCCTTCCTGGAATGTGACTTAACATTTAAAATCCCTATTAAATCTCTGGGTACACCCAGACCTCAGCAAGCCCTCTACAGAGAGAGCAAACATCCTCTCGCACTTGGCAGAGGAAGAGACGGATGCTTGCGTGGTGTGCAGGCCCAACTGATCAGTGGAAGAGAACCAGAAAATGTTAGAGCTGAAAAACAAACATTTGCACTTGAAAGAGGCCAACAAATCTGTGGGCCACGTGGAAGTTCGCTGGGAAGCACTTTCAACTGAGCTGCCCTGCAGTCAAAGACAGAGACTTGGGGTTTAGGTCTACCCCCTTCTTCCCGCGTCCCCCCCCCCCCCCCTTCACTCCCTTCCCCCTGCCCCCCCACCTGAATCCATTCTCCCTGCTTGGGGTCACAGTAGCCCTTCCCTACACAGCCCCATATGCTTCTGGGGAGCTGGCTACCCCCCAGCTCCAGGAGGGGAGGCTGAATAGCCTGTGCTAATGAGCACATCTCATTTGCTGCCCTCTCCCCTGCTCCCTCCCCCTGGGTGACTGGCTTAGGGACAAGCCTACCAGCCATCTAGGCCCATGAGAGGCAAGGCCTTTGCGGGGACTCCTGTGGAAGACTCCTAAGACTCCACAGGATGGACTGGAGTCTTAGGAGTGAAGTGGGCCATTCGCTGCCACTCTGAATACAATGTCAGCCGCAGGTGGTAAGGAGGCCTGAGATCCAGACAGAGCCCTGGTCAAACTGGACTCCAAACCGACTTGGAACCTGGACATCTCAGCCACTGGACCAGTGTTTATGGAGCTGGGCTCAGCTGAGGTTTACGTGACTGGCAGCTAAGGTTCCAACTGGCCTCCCAGAACCTCAGGCGATGGAGTCAGCGCCGTCTCGGTGCCTGCAAGGTGCTGGCAGGGGCCACCGCCGGGCATTGTGCTTCCTTCAGGACACGTGTCCCAAGAGGAGCAGCATTGTCCCGAGCTCTGTGCCACAGCCTCCCGCCTCCCAGGTTTTCTCGAAAGCACTGCACGCACATTCCAGAAGAACGTGGGCCTCAAGAACAGAAACAAGCCAGGGGTCAAATGCAGCATAGTTTAATTTGTTTCAAATAAAGCAATATATGTATATATATATAATATAATATATATTTCAGAAAAACACCGGATGTTAAATTCTACAAAAGCGCATGTGTCCTCAGCAGATCATGTTTGTCTGATCGGTAAGACTGGTTTCAACAGCAAACTCTCTAACCACAACCAACGGACGGATGACACCACTGCTACGGCGCCGGCTGCCGGCCGGGCCCTGACCGCTTGCGAGCCACGAGCCACGAGCCACGAGCCACGCAGCCATGTGCCCACCTTCCTAACCAAGGAGCGGGCGCACCCGGCCAGGCTGCCGCAGCGTCTCCATGAGAAAAAGCATCAACGGGGCAAGCAAAGCCATGGGAGGGGTGAAGCAAGCTAGAGCTGATTATGAGGATTAGTAAAAACGATTACGAGAGGATGGCGACACCGCCCCGCGGGGCTGGTCTATTCTGACTGATTCTCTTTTGGCAGCGAACTGGGTCAGCACCTCGGGCCGGGAGCCAGAACGGAGGGAGGAGGGCTTTCCTGTCTCCCCGCTCGCTCAGGCCACCAAGGTCACGGCGGGGACCGAGAGGACCGCGGCCTCCGTGGACACTTCTATTCTCGTGGGGCAGAGGTTGCACTGGGACCCCCGGGGGACGCCGCCCCGGAACGGCCGGGCCTCGGCGCCGTCGGCCGCGTGCTGCCTCCGCCGGGGCTTGTCCGGATGGGCCGGGGCCTCCGGGGCCTTGGTCCCCAGAGGGGCGTCGGGGTTCTTGGCGCCGCCTTTGTTCTTGGGGCGGAAGCCGTTGTGCGGGGGCCTCCTGTGTTCGTGGCGGCTGTTGCCCTTCACCGTCAGGTCGGCTTCGTGGCCGCCGCCCTGTGACTTGGCGGACGCGTTGAGCCGGTTGTGGTACTGTGGGTTAAACCGTCGTCTTTGGCTGTTATACGTATTCTACAGGAAACGGAAAGGAAAGGAGAGGAGAGAGGTAGGTGTTAGAGGCCAGCCAAGAACGGAGGGCAGCAGCTGACACCGGGGAAACACGTCTCTAAGCCCCAGGATGGCCGTTTTACACCCAGAACAGGACAGCATGCCTCTGAGTCAAGCTGATAAAACCCTCGAGTGGGGCGGGAATTGTAAGACATCAATGGAAGGTCTTGTATGCATGCATATAAACATAACCAATGGATACAAGACACTGGGTGGGGGGGGGGCAGGTGAAAACATATGCTGGGGGGAAGGGGAGGCCGGGGGAAGGTCAAAGGGGTAAAAAGGAGACACATGTACTACTATTTGTAATGCTTCAAATAATAAAAAAAACCAAAAAACAAAAAAAATCAAAACAACAATAACCCTTGAGCATAAGAGAACACTGACTGTTTGTAAATGGAACCCCAAGGAAATGACTGATGTGGAGAGAGAGGTTACAGAAGTACGAGATGGGCAATTTAAGAACCGGGCCAAAGGAAGCTTAAAATAGGGCAGAAGCACAGGCCACATGGAAGCAGGGCAATGATGACCCTTGACGATGGAAATTTAAGGACAGGTTGTATAGAGTACATGTATAAATTTTCACTACATTTATGAAGAAAAATGGAAAATTCTATTTGTATTTTTTCTGCTCTAGAACAGTTTTTTTCTTTTTTTAAATTTTGTTTCAAAATAAATACCCCAGTTCAGAAATGCTATCTCAGATGAACACAGGGATGATGTGTATCTAATAGTCTTGCTGGGATGGTAATGTGCATTTTTACAGAGGCCATTAGTTCTTTTCCTAAACACTGCCGTTGTCAGCCAACAAGTTTTCAAGGACTGCAGTGCAAAATGCCACATTCAACTAACGGGCGGACAAGAACACAGGGATGAGCAGAGAGGTAGCAGGGGCCAGCGTGTCTGTGGCTATTGAACAGAAAGAGACTGGAACTCCTGGAGGCCAGTGAGAGCTCAGGCTGCCGGTCCATCCCATTGGTCCTCACAATCACCCTGTACGGTAGTTACTGTTACTTGTCCTCTTTATAGAGGAGGGAGGTACATGTAAGGGGGCTTGCCCGGGCCTTCGGTTAGAAAATGGTGAAGCCATTCCCACTTCCCGTACTCTCTCCTGACAAGGGTCACAGATAGGCTGTTATGTGAACGCAGACTTTTACTGAAAATCGAACTTCTATTCGTGTGCCTGAGTTACAAAGGTACACAAAGTTCTTAACTGGTGCCGTGCGACTGGGTGGTAGAGGTTTAGGGCAGACCCAGCCCCGATAATTCTGGGCTCAGGGCAAAGGCACAAAGACAGCCTTGCCCCACCTGCCTGGACGTTGGGTTTTCTCACCTTCGGTAGGGAGGTACAGAGTTTGGATAGGCACATCTCCTTGGCCTCGCTCTGTAGGGAGCACCGTGGCTGGGGGAGGACCAGGAAGGATTACTGTAAAACATGGGACTTGTTGCTCCGTGGACAGTGTTCTAGCTTAGATATGTAAGTACGTTTCAACTTAAACGAGCCATCGCCTGCAATGTTTTACTGAAAACAATAAGGACAGTGAGCTGAAAAGTATCTATGTGGACAGCGTTTAACCTGGCCTCTTTCTGAAGAAACCGTGAAAGGGGAATGAGACTACCTCTTAGACCTCTCACTGGGGGTTTCATAATGAGCAGAGAACACAAGCTGGGCAGGTGTATTAGACGACAAGGAAAACAGTTCTGATCGTGGTCACACAGCTGTGCACATGTGAAAGGATCCCTGTTCTAGCCCCATGTTCAAGTTCACAAAGACATTCAGGGCCAGAGAAATGCCCGTCAGTGTCATTGATGAGAATTTTGAAAGATGGAGACCAGGAAACCCAACAGGGCACGTATCGGAAAACGAGCATTCTGGAAATCTTAAATGTCTTTAGAGCAGGCCTGGCGTCTGTGCCATCCAGTCCTCTTTCTTTCTTTTTAAACATATATATTTCATTGATTTTTTTATAGAGAGGAAGTGAGAGAGAAAGTTAGAAGCATCGATCAGCTGCCTCCTGCACACCCCCTACTGGGGATGTGCCGGCAACCACGATACATGCTCTTGACCGGTATCAAACCTGGGACCTTTCAGTCTGCAGGCCGATGCTCTATCCACTGAGCCAAACTGGTTAGGGCCAGTCCCATTTCTTGTTCCTTCTCTCGTGATAAGAGGCGATCGCTTCTCAAGGGCAGTGCAGAAACAGAAGGAAGACTGCCCTTTGCTCAGTATTTCCAGGGGACATACTAGATAAGAGTGAATGATGCCATTCTGAAATGCCTTCTCCTTACTGTAGGCCCAAGAGAAGAGAGAGAAGTTTGAACTAATTTTGGCCTCTTACTGATAAACTGAACACAAGCAGGAATTAAAGACTCTGAAGAAACAAATGCCGGATCTCCTCCCTCATGGTGTCAGAAGCCGGACTGCGCGTCTTGTCCCCACGTCTGCGCAAGTCCCTTCCACCCGAGGCCCAGTCCGGGGGACGGGGGTGGAGGCTCAGGGAGAAGGGGAGCCATCTCTGGAGGCTCTTTGCTGGGGTGTCAGGCGTGAACAGGCATTTCCTCCACACGGAAGGGCCTGTTTTGCAGACTGGATGCTCCAGGGGAGGCCCTGGGGCCAGCCAGGTGGGTGGAGGCCCAGCTGCTGGGGGTGGGAGGGCCGGGTGGGGCCCCAGGAAGCTCTGAGTCCAGCAGTTGCTGTTTTCTTCCTCTAAGGACCAGTGGTTTCTTCCTGGCCCCAAGGACCAGGGTCTGTGGGATCTGAGGCCCACCCCGCTCCCTGCTCCAGCCCGTCCATACCTGCTTGCTGGGCTGTGTGGCCTGGTGAGCGCTGTCCGCGGTGCTGGGCAGGTTGCCGGCCGTTTTGGGGTTTGCCGCTTTGCCCTCGGAGGGCTTGTGAGCGGACTTCCTGGCGAAGTTGCTCTGTTTCCCAGAGGCCGCGGTCAGCAGCGGCAGCAGGGAGCTGCAGGGGGCTCTGGACGAATAGTTGTTCTTTGGATGTGCAACTGCAACGAGAAAGCGCGGCATAAAGGGCTGGGCCACAGCCCCGGCCGCCTCGGGAACCCCCGAGGACACGGGGCTTCATCAGACACTAAGGAAAGCTTCTCTTTGTAAAGAGGCCATTCGGAAGGACACCTTGGTGCCCGGAGACCACCAAGTTCCTTCTGTGAGAGTCACTGACCTGCAGGTCCAGCACCATCACCCAGGAAATAAGACCTGTCTGTGCCAACTCTAACATTCCTTAGGCCAAGAACACCACGGGGAAGACGGGGGAGGGAGTCCTCAAGTGCCCATGTGGCCATGTCCATAACTGTGCCCGCTCCTGGTTCCCATGGTCACCCCCACTCTCACTGTCCTCAGACCCCTTGGCCAGCTGGCCTCAGAAGACCGGGAGGTGAGGAACACTTGGCCCATCGGAGCCGCAATGTTGTGAGAGCAGGACGGGTGCCGGGGATTTTGTCACCTGGATTGTGCACACACACACACCCCCCCCCCCCTGACCCTGGGGCCAGACCCAAAGAGGCCCCAAGGTGTCTTATCCTCTATCAGAGCTGCGTGAGCCGGTTTTCATCACCTCTTTCCTCCAGCCCCGCCCCGAGTCTGCACCAAGCCCAGCACTCCAGTCCCCGCAGGCCCATCGGGGACGGTTTCTCGGAGATGACTCGGCTCGAGGCCGAGGGAATCGATCTAAGGGTGACGGCAGGTCACCAGAATTGGACTGCCAGGCTGCAAAGCGAGACCTCTGAATTGTCAAAGTGTCCCCAACTTTTAGAAGCGACGTTCTCTGCTACCTGTGCTGGCTCAGACTGATCCTCCGATTCTTCCAGAGGGCCAGGGGGTGGGGGAGCGGATGGGGGAGGCTCGTGGGGGCCAGAGAACAGGAGGAGCGGGAAGGGCAGGGATGTAGCTCTGGTCCGCTGGTCTCAGAGTGGAGGGGCGGTGGCCTGGTGGGTGCTGTGCAAACAGCCAGAGGACTTCAGGGGCTCCTGTGCTGAGCAGCTTCAGTGTCGGGGGCCCCACAGATGAGACCACTGCTGGTTCAGTAGCTGTGAGCTCTCAACCCAGTGGAGAAGGAAGGGGCCCTGGAGAACTATTCTTTCCAACAGGGGGCCTGTGACTTTAGATCAAGCTTATATTTTGTATGCTCAGGGAAAAAAAGAGCAATTTTCACATTGAAAAAAAAAAAAATGAAGCCAAATCTCCATTTCTCTGCTGACTCCGAGTCCCTCATGGTCCTCTTGCCTCCTGTGGCCACCCTTGGAGCCATTTGGTGCTCCCCGCCCCCCATGCCCTCCCCGGTGGTGGCTGCAGGAGGGGAAAGAATCAGCCAATTTGGTTGCGCATTAACTGCTCATTAAGCCCTGATAGTGAACAGGAGGAACGCCAATGGCTGCACTGAGGCTTTCACTATCTGCAGACGTCACTCAGCTCAGAAAACAGGTATTGGCTCGGGCATGGCTGAGCAGCGCATCCCCACCCCGGCCCTCAGGAGTGTCCGCTGCGCCCCGGCTTATCAGGAGGACACTCCCTGGGACCAGGTCTCCACCTCGGAGCAGGCGGTTCGGATGGGTGAGGCAGTGTATCTGGCTCTGCTTAAGGGAAGTTTGTGAAAGGCCTAAACTCGTTGACTTGTCCCATTCTGCTCAGTAAATCTGGAGGATCTACGGATGGGCAGTGGCATCGGGAGACTCCGACTTCAGATCCTGACATTCCCAGTGACTTGTATCATGTCCTTCCATCATTAAAGCTCCTTGGACCTCACTGTCGCCCCCTGGGGACCGCGCCTGACACAGCAACTCCGGGCTCACGGGTACAGGGTGGCTTGGCCAGGGCACACCACTCACTTTCCCCGCAGAGCATGATTTGGGCCTTGAGCTGTTCAATGTCGCAGGAGAAGCGGGCAGCCTTCCCAAGTTCTTCATCATATTTACGCTCACTGACGAAGTGCTGGAGGTGAGAGAGGAGAGCAGGAGTTAGCGCCACACGACGGGGATGGCGGGGGCTCACCAGGCGTCTCTCTGCTCCTGAGCAGCCGCGGCTGGTGCTGGCTGCGAGGACCCCGAGTCAGGCTGGCTTGGACCTGCCTGGAGCATGACCACCTTCCTGTCCTGGGACACGTGTGGGCCCCGTGGTCCCCCTGCCTGGCTTGGACAACACGGCGATCCAGGCAAAGTGAGTCTGGATTCACCCTTCACTCTCTTGCAGGGTTTTATGTCCCGTGGTAAGTTTTTGGGTCAAGTTCATTTTCCTGATGTGGCCGATGGCCTGCTCAGGCATTACTACGCCTCAAGAGAAAACATCTGATTCTTTCCTAGACACTCTTCTCTGTTTTTGTTTGTTTGTTTTATGTTTTTATTGATTTTTCAGAGAGAAAGGGAAAGGGAGAGAGATAGAAACATCGATGAAAGAGAATCATTGATGGGCTACCTCTGGAACGCCCTTCCCTGGGGATCAAGCCCACAACCCAGGCATGTACCCTGATCCGGAATCGAATCAGTGACCTTCTGGTTCATAGGTCGATGTTCAACCCCTGAGCCTTGTCAGTCGGGCCACCCTTCTCTGTGTTCATAGGGGACCAGGAAGTCTGAGTAGCTTCCAGTAACTGTCTTGGTAGAATTCCAAGGGCTGTTAGAGGAAGTGGGAAAAAGATTATTTTTCAATTCATTTGAAATGAAGATTTATGTGCAAATGACAGAGTGAGAAATGCAGAAATAGCTACGACTGAGTTCCTCCTGGAGTTTACCAGAGAGCTTACCACGTGGCAAGGGAAACAGACACCACCAACTACAACATCGAGTGACTGTGGATGTGCTTCAGGAATATAAAAGCGGAAGAAGAAGAAGAAAATAAATAAAAGGAAGAAATTATTTCCCACTGAGGGGAGGGGAAGTTATGTAAGAGAAGCATTTGAGCTGGAACATTAAAAAAAATGGGCCAAATTCTTAACAGATAATCTCATTTTCATCTGATCACAGTGCTATGAAGTCAGTACTATTATTATCCCTATTTTACATAGAGTTGGACTTGAGGCTCTAAGAATCTGTAACTTATCCGAGGTTGCAGGAGTTAGTCTGTTTCAGCCCAAAGACTGTGTTATTAACCATGTTATGTTCAGGGGGTTTCTGACGGGCAGAAACAAAACTCGAGAGATGAATAATTCCAACAGACGAGGAAGCTGGTGACTTCATAGTCCTCACTTCATCCTATATAATAAAAGGCTAATAGGCAATTTGTCCCCTCAAGGGGGAGTTCACCCAGGGGGCGGGGACAGCTGTATCCCACCCGAGCAGGAATTCGTGCACCGGACCTTTAGTGCTCTAATAAGAGGGAGAGAGAAGTTGGATGTGTAGACACTGGAGCCCAGCTGTGGAGTTGGCTCTGAGGGAAGATCAGACCTGCTCTGGGGCTGTACCTTCCGTGTGAGGGTGTACGGTTAGGCTGGAGGGAGACAGTGGAAGCACAAAGATGAATTAGGAAGCCATGGCAACTGAGTGGGTGGAGAGCAACAAAGGTCAGAAGAGAAGCTGAGAAAGAAAAGACCGACAGCCTCCCGGGACTGTTAGGGTCCTTCTCCTGCTCCTTTTCAAGCCCAACCAAAGTAAGGAGACTGGGGGTCACTTGCCTAACCAGTTGCATGCCCAGATGGGCAGACAATCCTACTTATAAAGCCTGTAGCTTCAAAGTACTCTAGTTCCCAAGAAGTAGGTCAGAGGCTGGTATATTTGTGTGTGAGAAGAGAATAAGGGGAAACTTGTAAGTTGTAACTTCCTATTTTATTGTCGATACTTGTGTTTGCCTTTCTGGTAACCATTTCTTCTTCTGGCAACTGTACCCCAATATGGTTTCAAAGACCCACAGTCTTGGAGGGGGGTGGTCTGTCAATCAGACCTCCTGGGCTCAATGGTGGCTGTGACCCACTAGAGGCCGGTCAGTCTCTCTCTCTCTCTCTGGGACTTGAATCGAAAGGGGCACAATGGCTGATGGTGCCTCGAGGAGTGTCTGATGATTACTGCTGTCTAGTTACCCAAACTGCCCAGGCTTCTGCCTCACTGAGGGCGAGTCTTCAGATCCCACTCTGCGTTGGTGAGCTACGCTCACGCTCTTTCCCATTTCACGTGTTCTGGAGGTTAGCCAGGATTGGGTTCTGCTGCGAACCCCTCAAAGCTAGTGAACACCTTACCTGGGGGTGGTGCCCTTAACGAAAGGGCAACTAAGCTAGGCAAGGCCATAGGGGAGAGGTCTCCACACACTGTGTATTCTCTAGAATCCTTCTACTCCACTGAGTTCACGCTTAGTGTGTTCACATGGTGTGTTTATGGACGCACACACACACGTTACATAAGGTGAAGATAACACGCCATCCCAGCTGTAATTCACGTTTGAGTACATTGCCTTTAGGCCAGTTTCCACCACCTGAGAAAACAGCTCCTAATGCCCTCTCTGTCAATGCCCATTCAACCATATATACATAGATATAGTGATTAGAAGGCTCTTCTGCCTCCTGTTCTTGACTTTAGCCCTGCGAAAGGGAGCTGGGTGTAAGACGCTGGGTCCTCAGACAGCAGCTCTACAGGCGCCACACACACACACACACACACACACACACACACACACACACAAACACACACACGCGCGCACACACACACACACACGTGATGGGGTCGGGTCTCGGGCTCAGGGCTCGGGGCCCAGGCTGCAGTCGCTGGGAACTGACCTTGATCTCCGCCCTGAGTTCGGCCAGCTGCATCTCTGCCATTTGACTGGCCAGATCAGTGAGCCGCTTCAGTTCTTCTGCCTTCTTCTGACGAGCAGTCAGGATTTCCACTGCCAAGTGAGAGGGAATGCGTTAGGGCCCGCGATGAAGACACAGGACGTGACTCCAGTTCTTGGAGTCCGTTCTCCTTCTGCAGAGGGGTCACCGACGTGGGTTTGCGCTGGTGCTCACCACCAACCACCCCGTCCTGGATGCCCTCGCCCACCCACCCCAAACCAACACGATCCCTCTGATTCACTGCACACCCACAGTCTTCTCCAGTTTCCTCACTGGCATCTGGTCTCCCTGACTTAATTTGGGCTTTTCAATGTGTGCGTTACTCAGAACAGCTAAAAAAAAAAAAAAAAAAGGACACTTATTGAAATCCTTTCTGAATGGCATTACAGAGATAGGAGTCCAGTAAGCCAAACACGTGCTTCTGGGTGCTGTCCTGTCACAGTCTAACAGCCCCAGCCTTCCTGAACCTTCACACCCCCCCGGGATAATCAGCTGTATGACTAGAGGATGACATAAAGGGCTCACTCGATTGGATTTCTGTGAGCTACAGATGCCTTTTCTTTTGACACTCTGCAGACATGTTTCCATTCTGCAATCAGAGGGAACGTCCAGACCAGAGTGTCCTGTCTTTGTTTTTGGTGTCCCCATGGAAACATCTCAAGGGCAAGTCAAAGCCCCTTTGAGCTGGATTGGTGGACACTCCTAAGCTTCTGCACATGCAGCGGAGACACCGGGACCTCGCTGGCATCACATTCACACATCTGTCAGATGGACTACAGCTCCAGTAGATGTAGTAACCCACTAGATAACCTGTGTGTATGTGTGTGTCCCAAAAGATCATGAAACTCAAAAGCAATGAGCACAAACCTACGGGGTGAGATTTAATATGAAGTCTGATCTTTCAACAATGGACTTGAAGCTCTCTAATTCAAGCCACATAAGCTATGCCCTCATTCCTTTGGACAAACATTTTGAGTTGTAAGAAAGGATCTAACCAAGATCCTCTACACACGTCACATCCCGTTCCAGGTGGGACAAAGGTCAGCTGCTTCCTTAGACCCAATTCACAGCACACACACACAGAGCCAAACAAGGTGGCTTCTCACTGTGAGAGTTCTCACTCCGTAAATGTCAAAAACAGTCACCTTCAAACCTCCCAGAAGCTCAGAGGCAGTCCAGAGTTAAAAGTCCTGCACACCAGAAGCCGTTCTTCAGACAGAGAAACATTATCTCTTGTCAATAACATAAGAAATCTACAACTAAAGCCTTACCATCTGCCAAACCACTCGAATCAGGCGCTAGCTGTTCACGGGGACTCCCCCTTACACCAGGTAGCTGGGCAGAGCGGGTCTAGGCCTGGCGGCCTTTAGGAATACAGGGGATTTCTGTCCGGCCATAGACAGCGTATCCCCGCCCCATGTCCCAGGTTCCCCAGCCAGGCCAGAGGACACGAAAAGGTGGCCCACTTTCACTATTGGCTCAGAGCCATACATGTTTGGTTTGGTCTGCACATGACAAGTTAATTTTTCAAACTTAATGCCCACGTTGGAAAACGAGGGGAGCCCGGGTGAGAGCTGATTTCTGGCCTTCTCCTCAGTTAACTGGAATTTCTGGCCATGGTCGGCGGCGAGCATTTCCCTGTGGCAGCAACCGGCTGCAGCTGAGAGCTTGCTGCCTTTTCAGGCGGAGCTCGGTGCTCACTGGGCCTGGTCCATCCCTGCCCTGTCGGCCAATGGATGTCACCTGCCCGCCTCTGCCGCAGGCATCTTCCGTCACAGCGGAGAATGCATGCGGGGTTTTTTGCTCCCATAACACCTCGGGGCTGGCACACATGTTGGCTGAGTGGACTAAATGAATGAATCCGTTACTTAAAAGGAATATGCAGAGAGGACAGAGGTTCCTTTTCCACAGGGGCCACCCAACAACGCCTAGGACTCATACCTTTGGTTATTTGTTTGCCAGTATAATTCAACCTACAGACGGGACACAGGGGAATTTATTTTTGAGTGAGAAGATGAAACAAAGTCCTTTCTTCGTGCAAAGTCTTAAAAAACTCTGAAGGCCCAGACTTGACAAGCAGCTAGCACAGAATCAGCAGACCCTGAGTGACAAGAGTTAAGCAGATCCATTTCTTCATGGATCATTTACGGGACTGGTGACAATTAGGGGCAATTGTTCTTTTTGATTAGGTAGAGCTTGGGCATTCACACCAAACAAAAGATTTTGCAGAAATAGACATAAATGGGCCCTAAAACAGGAATGCAGGTGCAAGGTCACCAAGAGAGTCTTCGTTTACCCTCTTGTAGATGTGCAAGGGAATGCAAGTTTTGCATCAGCACTTGTTGCGATGAGTTTTACATACGGTCTCATTAACATTTCAAAGCCTTTCATGATGAGAAAGCCTTAAAACTTGAGATCTAAAGCTAAATGCTTTGCAGGGAGGCGTTTATTTCACCTCAGAAACTTCAATCACAGAAGTAAAAAGCAAAAAAACAAAACCAGATCGGATCCTAAAATTCATTGATCCTAAAAACTTAAAATAGAATAACAAGTGTGTCTTGAAAGCACCCTCCTTTGATACATGTGCGGAGGGGACGGTTCCCACAGCCTTGTTTCCCCCGCACGCAGGGCTCGGCTCGGATTGCTTAGGCACCTTTGTGAGCAGCTTCCGGTGTGCTGAAAGCCGTTTTCTCAACAGGATTTACACATTCCTTCAGGTTCCTGCCACACTGGAAGCTTGCTCCTGTTGCCTGGGCCTCGGAACATGCTGAGGGCTTCTTAAAATAAAACCCCAAAGTGGGGGGAGTGTCCTTGAAACCCTGGAACGCGGGGAGCTGGGGCAGAAGTAGCTCTTCAGGCACAAAGATTCTTTGAAATCCTTTGTATTCCTGAAAAAATTCTTGTGAATTTTGCATCTCATTTCACAATGTGTCTGTGTTCCTATTAATAGAACGTTTTCTTCCCACATCTCTGGCCAACTTGGCCCTCCAGGAGCCTGCCCCTGTGGGCCTTCGGCCCCCTGGTACACGGGCACAGCCTGGCCCCCCCCCCCCCCCCCCCCCCCCCCCCCCCCCCGCTTTGCGGCAGCCTGGTCCCCGCGTCTGCACAGTGTGATACCCCGACACCTTGGGAGGCCACTGGGAAGCCACACGCAGTAACCCTGAGAAGTGGTTAGTACTTCACCTTCAAGAACAGCTCACGACGAATATTATTAATAAAGTGAGATGTATTCATCTAGAAGACACTTGCTCTGCTTGTAATTACCTCAGTGTTCACTGATATTGGGTCCCGCAGCCTACAGACACTGAATGGATTGCAATGGTTTGTTTAGCGAATATTAGGAAGTGCCTACAGCCTTCTCATATTGTGTTAGGTGCCATGAGGGATATCAGGAGCTTTTGTTATAATTGAGGGAATATGGTTTCTGCCGTGTGCAGGAAATGAGAAGTACTTGGGAGGCTGCAGACAAGCAAGCTCAAGGTGGTGGCTGTGAAGATGGTTCGGTACCCTTTGGGGAGAAAGTCTCCCAGCTTCTGTGTGTGGAAGAGACACAGCTGACCCAGACCTATCACCCGAGGTGCCGCCTGGCCCCTGACCTGCACCATGCAACCGTCCAGGAGGGGCCAGGCTGCCCTTTGCTAACCGAGCTAAGCGCCTGGCACGGATTTTCTCATTTCACCTTTACAATAGCTATTTGAGATAGATACTATTCTTTTTAATATGTTTTTATTGATTTCAGAGAGGAAGGCAGAGGGAGAGAAAAAGAGAGAGAGATAGAGATCAATGATGAGAGAATCATTGATCGGCCACTTGCTGCATGCCAGAGAAAGAGAGAGAGAGAGAGAGAGAGAGCGAGAGAGAGAGAGAGAGAGAGAGAGAAAGAGAGAGGGGGAGAGATAATCAATGATGCGAGAGATCAATGATCGGCTGCTTCCTGCATGCCCCGCACTGGAGGCTGAGCCAACAACCTGGGCATGTCCCCTGACTGTGACCTCCTGGTTCGTAGACTGATGCTCAACCGTTGAGCCACCCCAGTTGGGCCTCGATACTAGTCTTATTCCTCCCTTTCTAATGTGTAACCACAGAGTTGGGGACATTAACAAAATGGTTCAAGGTCACACAGCGAGAAATGGTAGAACTGCCTCTGGTGCATGGGAACCGGCTCCCCCCGCTCTGAGCAGTGGCCTGAGTGCTCCCACAGCCTCACATGCTCGCACTCGGGGCAGCACGCTGTAAACGTTTCCTGACTGAGTGAGCTGTGAAAACAGGGTGCTCTCCAGAGAGGCTCCCAGTTCCTCAGGTCCGGCACTTCACGTGGTCCGGAGAAAAGGAAGGAGCACGTGAAATCGGGGGTACTTTGCTAACCTCTCAGAGAGTGATGTGCCAGCAGCTTTGTGTTTGGGTTCCAGAGGAGCATCTGTGTCTGTGTCAGCTCTTAGAGTTGTGACCAATTGGGCATGAAACAGAAAAGGGAGGACCAGGAGACATCCCCTCATTTGAAAACCTACTTTTACCGCGGAAACCAACCGGTTGAGGGAGCATAAAACAATGTCTCAGTCAAAGGGATTGTGTGACGACCTGACTATCCCACAGCCTGACCCTGGACCACACTTAGTTTTATTTCATCAAACCTGCTCTACTATAGATCCTGGAAGTTTGCTTGTAATTATTTAGAAAAGCTGGGTAAGAAAACTAACGACAGCTATTTTCCATAAAGAGACTACGGACTGATGGACACGGGCCAGGCGAGAAACATGTAAGAAGAATTCAGGATCTGGCCTGATCCTTCATGCTGGTAAAAGAGATGCATTGCCGTCAAAGGTAAAGGCATTTCGCCAAAATTCGGCTGGGGGAGGCAGACTGCCATCTATCTAATTCACGAGATGAAATCTCAGTGAAGATGACGAAGTTAAAATGCTCAGGAGACAGGCGTTGTGAAAGTAAATCCCAGCTTAAAAACATGGTCTCAGGATTCCCTTGAGTGGAGCAGGATGCAGTCAGTGCTAAGGGAAGCTCCCCCCCCCCCCCCCCCCGGCCCGGGTCCACTTGGGCTTGGGTTGGATCTGATTGTGTAATCTTGTCTCGGCTGGAATTTCCAACCCACGAGCCTAGGCCCATTTGAGACGGCAAGTCTGCCCTCCGGGCTGTCCCGGGACCTCACCACAGCGGAAAGGTTTAAAGAGGAGTATGAAGAGAACAAAATAAATCAAACCCAGGGAACAAATATTTTGTGTTAATACTAGGCAAAGTTTTGCAATGATGAAGATCGTCTGAGTGTGTTCATTGTTTAGTGTCTGGCCCATTGGGCAATCTCACTTGTGATTTCAATTTAAAACATGCAATTCATCTTCTTTGGAGGTGTCACGTAGGCAGGTGTGAGCCAACTGGACTACGTTTGTGAACAGGGCTGGAGCGGGTCAAGAAAAGTTCACTGAGTGTGTCTCTGAGTCTGAGCTGCTAATCTTACAAGAGTTGCTGACAAGCTTGGGGCACTTTGCCCATTAGGTTTGTGAGTTTGCCTGGTCAGATGCCTGATGTGCTAAAAAAAAAAAAAATAAATAAACCAGATATATTAAGTTCATAAGTGTTCTTTAAAATAAAGAGGAATTTCAGTTTCAAATGGGACTTGTTTTTTTAGAGAAATTAAATTTGTTGGACTTAGGTTAGTTGAACCGAAAGAAAAAAAAAATGACCAAGTGAAGAGGACTGTGCGAGTTGTAGAGCAAGATTTGTAAATTGGGAAGGCTTAAAAGTCATGTTTTAAAGTTTAAGACGAACATTGATGTATTTTAAATCCAACAACTAGAAGTAGCCCATTATATGCACCAAAGTCCCCCTGGACTTGAAATGGCTCCACCCACACTTGGTACTTGCCCAGTGCCTATTCTGCACCTGCGCAGTGGGTGCTGCCACGCCCCTTCGCACACGAGGTCTCGGAGGTTCCCAGGGGCTAGGTGATGTACTACCCAAGGCTACGGAGCTCCAGAGCCAGAAAACCATGTGGATTTCAGGACCCAACTTGGAATCCCTATCACGGTCAGTTGGCCCTACAGAAAGCTTCCGACTGGGAGGCCCCTGGCCCAGCAGCCAGGGGTGTACTTACTGGCTTCTTCTTTGACTTGGTCCATTTCTGCCATCAAGGAGACTTCCTTGTCAATGATGCTGGGGAGAAAGAAAACAAAAACAAAAGCAAAGGATGCTTAATCAAAGACGAACTTTTAATAAGCACTGGAAGTAAAAGAAAGATTATTTTCATTAAACGAAATGCAAATCACCATAACTACTTCCCTGTGACAACGCCAGCGGCACACTCTGCTTTTCTGAGATGTGGCAACGTGGAAGGGACGCGCCCGAGGATGACGCGGGGACATCTGCTGATTGAGTCATTGTCAGCAAGACTAGAAAAAGGCCTTTCAGACTTACAGAAGGCGCAGCTTTGAATTTGAATTAGGGAGTATTTTTGCCCCACGAATTACCAAATTCCACAACAATCCTAATATATAAAAAGCCAGGGGTTGCCACGACCCAAACAACCAGATGGACAAACAAACAACAGGCTGAGGACAGTTGGGGGTGAGCAGGCCAGAAGGCAGAGGTGGTTAGGGGTGATCAGGCTGGTAGTGGGGAGGGGGAGCAGTTAGGGGCAATCAGCCTGGCAGGCAGGCAGGTGAGCAGTTAGGAGCCAGTGGTCCTGGATTATGAGAGGGATGAATGACTGCTATTTTAGGCCCAATCCCCAAGGGGTCCCAGATTGGAGAGGGTGCAGGCCGGGCTGAGAGGACACTCCCCACCCTCCACCCCCCATGCACCAGTATAACACATATTTTAAAATCTGGTGCATGGGTCATGTAGGCTTGTAAGTTCTCAAGGGTCTCTTTGCTTCACTCTCCCAGACTATGGCAGTGGGGGGTGAGGGGAGGGCCATGCACATTGAGAAATTCGGGCTGGGTCAACCCACCCACATGCTCGATCACATGAGTCTATGCCTTCTCATGCTCCCTAGAAAACGTTTCAAGCATCTTCACAATAACATTGCTCCACTGGGCACGGAAAGGAGTCCCGGACACCGCTTTGGGCCTTCAGGAGTGGGAAGAGGCCAGTGGACTACTGGCTGGCAGGTCACGGGAGACTTGCAGGTAATCTGTCCTCCCTCCTCTTCCTCAGTGGTGTGCAGCGTGTGGCCTGGGTTTGGGACGGCTGCACAGGAATATGCCACAGACAGCACTAGAAACAGGGTGAGTCTAGCAAAACCTTCATCCACGTAACAAATATTGGCCGAGTGCCTGCCACATACCAGGCAAGGGTATGAGGCTGGGAGTACCGCTGTGAATGAAAATAAAATTACTACCAGCCTTGGGGAGATTACGTTCTTTTGGGAGAGCTGAGAGGAAGAGGCGAGAGGACCTGCTAAAGTTACTGGGAAAGAGTGAGAAACAGAAGAGGAAATAAAATGCTGATGGCAAGAAGAAGATATTAGGGCTCCTTGACCCTCAACCAAACACAAGGCTTCTGACTGGTCTCCAGGTTTTGAGAGCCCACAGAGTACACCACATAAGGAAACGCATGCAGGAGGTACAAGACTGGGTGTATCCAGACAGCCTCACAAAGTCCCCACCCCCTGACCCCCCGAGGCCACAGACCATGCAGCCTGCATGTGTTGGGTGAGAAGAGTGTAGGAAAAGCCTCTGCAAATTCTTGGCCAGCTACAAAGTCATAGCCAGTTTTGTTGATAAAATCTGTTAATATCATTATGGGCGCCCAGAGGGTATAGGAGATGGACCTCATTAAGCCTGGGGCCCAGGACCTCCCCCCAGGTCTGACGCATAGGACACAAAGCTGGGCCCTCACACAACGGTGAGCTCCGGCCTCTGGGCCAGCCACTGGAGGAATGGAGGCTGCACACAACACACTGTGAATCTGCCTCATGCCCACGTGAGGATGTGCAAAAGCCTGTGGAGCTGCCACCAAACCACGCTTCTGTTCCTCTGGGTATTTCACCAAAACATTGTCCTCGGCGTCTTAGTCATTCAAGCGCTGCTCTGTGCGACTGCGTCCAGCACTCCCGGGGATACAGGCAGCCAGGAATCTGTGAGTCAGGCCCCTCTTCTGAACCCAGGATCCGAAGGCAAACCAGGGCCGGCTGCTGGCCGGACAGCTCCCGCTGGCCCGCCCTCAGGCACCACAAGAGGGGCGCCCGGGCCTTTTGTTGGGCTCTGCTTTCAAGGCCGCAGGCCTGGAGGGATGAACAGCCGTAGGAGGTGGATTCAGGGGCCAGACCGTGGAGGCCAGCCTGTCCTCTGGCGGCTGCTGCACCAAGCTGAGCGCCAGACCACAGGAAGGGCCAAGAGGAGAGACTGTCTGAGCCTCCAGGTGCCCACAGGGCCCGGCGGTGTGGCATCCGGCTGCACCAGTGCCTATTCAATCTTACAGAAACCGGACAGAGAGACGCTGCAGGGCCGCCTGGTGACAGACAGCTCCGAGGGCAGAACCAGGCAGATGCTGAGCAAAACCCTAGGAACAAGGAGTTACCAGATGTGGAAGCCGGAGGGAGGGGGGAGAGGCTTTGAGAGGAAGGCCATCTGAGAGCCGGTGAATCACAGGAAAGTCACAGACAGTGTCACCAACCACGCCCATAGGGAGGCACCAAGGCCACCTGCTTGCTTTCGGGGTACACCTGTGTAGCCATGTCCGCCCTCAGTGACCTCAGAATGAGGGCTGGTTTTGGCCAGCACATCCTGGCGGTGTGCTAGTCCCAGGCATGTCGAACAGAGCGCCAAGGCCTTGCTGGGCAATCTCATGTAAGCGTCCTCGAGGGCAAGTGCCCTGCTTGCTTCTCCCCTCCCGCCCCCCCCCCCCCCCCCGGGCCCCGGGCACAGGTTCTCGCCCCAGCTGGACGGCAGGGTCCTCCCAGCCCTGCCCGCTCCCTCTCATTAAGCCCGAGCACCCCGTCAGGCCTCTGTTTAATCATCGCATCTTCGGGGAAACTCCGCGTGCTTAAGAGCCATAGGATCTCAGACTATTGTGAGCTGCTTGACAAACACTGCTTGATAGTGATGAATGTAAGGGAAGAAGGCATATTCATTTTCCTGTGGCATCAATAATGAAACTTCTGCTTAATTGGTATATTGTAGCGCTTGCCCATAAATCACGTGTATGCAATGATTTATATAATTTTTGTCTCTGCCGGAATCTAATCATTGGAGACACAAACTTATGAATAAAAAGCGCGCTGATATCCACCAAACCACACAGGGTTTGGCTCCGAATTGGAGCAGGTAGTTAATGATTCTGTTCTCAAATTGAGATGGCAATACATTATTGAAATCTGTGCTCTCCCTCTCCACTCATCACCCGCGACTCTGAGTGCTGCACATTTCTGCTTTCTGCAGGGGTTGCCGGAGCCGGGCGGACGCACAGAACCTCCCTCTGCTGTCCGCCGGCCATGGCGAGGGTCCCCCAGGGGTGGGTACAGTCCCCGAGGTCCCCAAGGTCAGCCACGTGGCCACGTGCTGCCTGCACCGAGCTCCCCTAATGTAAGGTGACCAGATGTTCCGCTTTTGGCGGGGCAGTCCCGATTTTTAACAAATTGTCCCACATCCTGCGGCGTTTTAAAAAAGTCCCAAAAGCTGGACGTCTGGTCACCTTACCCTAAAGCCACGCCGGCCTTCCGATGCACCCTTTACCTTCCAAAACACGCCTCCTCGCTTTCCCTAAGCCCTCCGGACAGTAACGTTTTATTCCCTCGCCATAAAAAAGCTTTTATTATCAAAGCAGTAAGGTGTGAGGAAAAGGAGATTCCCAGGGCGGGGCCTGTACCGTTACTGGTACAGTTAATCGAGGAGATAAAGTGTCATTTTGTAAGAAAGCCCACAGTCCCGATTCCTTTCTGTAGAGGGCTCCCCACAACAATAATGAGAAGGGCCGGACAGGCACTGAGCAGGAGGGAGCGACCCTCTCCTGCCCCGTGGAGGGCGCTTCTAGAACCCAAACGGAGCTGCTTTGGCTGGCAGCCGGGGTGGCCGTGGCAGGCCTCGGCTCTTCCCGGAGGAAGGCGCTGGGACAGGAGCAGCCACATCTGCTGAGCTGGTGGGCAGAACCAGCTGGGGACACTGAGGCACAAACGCGGAATCTCAGAGGGCATGTGAAGACATCCGTGTGCAGCCACAGCCGAGTTAGATGCTGGGGTTCACAGGGGCCCCTCCCAACTTGGGGCGTGGACCGAGGGGTGTCTGCCGAGGGGCTGCAGAGGAGAAATGGCCCATCCCATCCCATCCCATCCCATCCCATCCCATCCCATCCCATCCCACTCCATCCCATCCCATCCCATCCCATCCCATCCCATCCTACTCCATCCCATCCCATCCCATCCCATCCCATCCCATCCCATCCTACTCCATCCCATCCCATCCCATCCCATCCCATCCCATCCTACTCCATCCCATCCCATCCCATCCCATCCCATCCCATCCTACTCCATCCCATCCCATCCCATCCCATCCCATCCCATCCCATCCCATCCCACTCCATCCCATCCCATCCCATCCCATCCCATCCCATCCCATCCCATCCCATCCCATCCCATCCTACTCCATCCCATCTCCTCTCCCGTTTTGCTTCAGAACCTCCTTGTGGAGGAAGTGCTTCAGGCTGGAGCTTCCTTAACCCGCAGCGCCCAGCAGAGCAGAGCCAGCAGAGCTCCTGGGAGGAGACAGGGAGGAGCCAGAGCCCAGAGGCCCGCAGGTGAGGAAGGCCTGTCCGCCCGCCATCAAGGGAAGAGGCTGTGTTCGTTGCTGGGCGAGGGGCTGGGGAACACGAATGCTGCCTCTGCCTTCTGGCCTCCACCATCTACACACAGCACGCAGGTGGGCGATACTCTACCGCAAGGATCCCTATTGTGTAAAGAACTCCTGTTTCCCTCTCACTGCACCCCTCCCCCCCACGGGGCTCCTCCTCACCACTGGGCCAGCGGTGAGCACACCCTGTGTATGTGTGTGAGGAGGAGGGGTGGGGGGTAGGGGAGGCTGGAGCTGAGGAGGGAGCACTGCTCACAGGTTCAGGCACCTACTCCTCTCCCTGAAGCGACAGGACTTCCCCTCCAGGTGGGGGGGGGCAGACAAGCCTTCCCCCCCCGCCCCCCGTACACATTGGGGGTGCCCAGGGCC